ATTATTATTTTTATGTTTTCATTGATTAATGCTAATTTCATTAAATCACCATGGTTCTTATATGGTTCATATAAGGTTATCTTTGGAAAAACATAATCACGAGCTCTGGAGATTGCAGAAGATTGCTGAAATTGTACTTTGCAGGAATTGCTGCAGTTTGTTAACAGTGGCTGCCATCTTATAGTCATTCTTTTTCAACAGAATCTGTCTATAATTTATTTTCTCTCTAATTGTACTGAGATTTTTCCAGTTATTTAGATGTGTCTTAATTGTAGCTTATTGATATTTTTTACTCCACTCTTAGCTTTGCCTAATGAGATAATGGGATCCTTTAACTCCACACTGCAGGCAGGGATTTCAGTTAAAGGAAGCCTGAGGAAAATCCTGAAAGGAAACCTGAACCTTTAATTATCAGCTGACTGAATGAAGTCAGCTCTAATTTGTTTAAATCTACATGATGGCTTTTTAAATTTAGAAACTCATTAAAAGATCTGATGGTTTTGCAGAATGTGACATTAACAAGTTGAGTTTTGTTTTTGTTTTTTTATTTAGAACTTTACCACGGGGGTCTGAACATGTTTCAGATGTGCTTTAACCTCCAAAAAGACTGAACTGTCTGTCTGAACCCCCATGGATGTCCCTGGGCCAAGGGGTGAACTCACTCGGGTCGGGGGCCAGGCACTCGCACTTGTAGGTGGTGACGTAGTCAGGCTTGAAGTCGGTGTTGATGGGGTAATACTTGAAAGAGCCCACCATCTTCTTGATGGCGTCGGAGATGAAGATGAAGGAGATGAGGCTGGAGAAGCCTTCCTCCGTGAAGCGCGTCATGTACTTGATGATGTAACTGGCGTCTGACGCCACCAGGATGAAGCACTGCAGGCAGGAGTGGATGCCGATCCACAGGCGCAGCTCCATGTAGTCTATGCCGTTGTTCCTATGGGAGGGGGGGGATGCAGGGAGGGATTCTTAATGATAGACTTAGACAGATTTTTTTGTCATTTTGTTGACACAAGTACGGTGGCCCAGAGGTGTCACCACTAATACAAAAGCCGCAACACAAATACAAGAGCCGCAACACAATGGGAATTGCGGCTCTTGTATTTGTGTTGCGGCTTTTG